AATGGAAATAAAGGTCAGTGTTTTTTGTCCAGAAAAAGGGCTCTGAATTATTGAATAAAAAGATGTGATTTTTATTTTGGCGGGGGAGAATGACATCACAACAGAAAAAGCTACCTAAATTTTTCCCTTCTTTTCAAAACATAAAATAAAATCTTTGTGGCTCTAAATCATCAAATGTACTTATAAAATGGAGAAATAAAACTAGTGTCAATGGATTTAATGGTTAGACATTTATATATATATATAAACAGTATGATGTTTCATAATATAAATATATATATTTTTATTTTGTAAAATATATTTTTTTATTTAAAAGGTATGACGGATCGGATATGTATTAAGGAAATTTCACATCATAAACATGCAACTTTTTTTAGGTTTTATGATTGTGGGGCTAATGTAATGAGAATCATTACACTGACAATTTGCCTCTAATTTATGTAAAAATTTTAGCTTTAACTAACAAATTCGTTAATGTAACATGCATTGTGTGATAATTCTGCGCGAATTCCTCACCGACAGAAGATTATCAACCGGTTGTTGCCGGTTGCCGGTCGCGGAAAGCGTTGATAGAAATTAAAATGAATCTCTTTCGTAAATCGTAACACACTGTACTGCCACTAATGTTTGCAATATTGTCGGTGCAAAACAGTGTTTGATGTCTCAAGCGCTCAGGAAGTTTTTTTTTTTTTCCTAGCCATTAAAAAATAGGAAAAACAATAATATTTTTTGTAATATTAATAAAGAAGTCATTATCGAAACTATTTTGATGTAAAAATAGTAATTAAAAACAATTTATAATTAAAAATTATGAAAATATGTGAGTGAATAAATAGTGAATTTTTTTATATCATATTAATAATTTTGTCACTACTTTTGATTTAATATTCATATTGCCTAGATAAATAAAATATCTATTTATGAAACAAACGAATATTCAATTATCTATCAATTGTAATTTGACAACTATTTCAGTTACTAGCAAGTTATCAATGAAAAAAAATTATTCTTCAACAAGTTATTATGATATAAAATGAGTAAATTACGTCTAGATAGAAGAAACAATACAATATATTAAGTACGAAAAATTTTAAAAAAAAACATATATTTTTATTTTTTAAGTGTTCCAAATATAATTGTTAATTATCCCTTAAGCATTATACTGCTACTCGTTTTAGTTATGTATGTGGATTAGTGGATATTTTGGAGCTCAATAATAAACAACTATCAACCCACAACAAATATTTATGGCTGCATTTGGACATTCAGCAACAGATTAACACAGGACAATGATATAGTCCTGTTCAATTTATTATCAATATCCACATTTTTCCTCCTCTTAAAAAAAATATTTCATAAAATGTGGAAAATATTGTTATAAGTAAAACATTTTAATTATATTTTGTCAGTTAAATAATTCTAAACGTGGACAAATAATCCATTAAGAATTAACTTGTTTATGCAAATTTCACCACCCACTCGAAAGATTACCAGAGCCATGAATCATAAATGGCATCACTTATCTATTTATTTATTTTATCTTAACAAGTCAAAAGTACATTTTTCTATTTTAGTGGTTCTGGACATTTCATTCAACATTCCAACATACTTTTTAATAAATATATTCAATCAAGAAATATTAAGATACCATATTTTTTAAAAGTAACATATTTCAAATGTTCAACAAATAAAATATACAACATTTGACAGAGATAACTTAACAACATCAATGGCAATAGAAGATATATATCTTATGTATAAACAAACATCATCCCGAAGCACAAACTCACTCAGTCAATCTAATGCCTAAAGAGAGTTAACTTTTGATATAACCACACATCTCAATCAATCATACAAACATACTTATACTGAGCTGCGGCTAAAAGATTACAAACCGATTACTTGAATGTGATGATGCTTCAAGAGCCTTATCATAAGTATAAGAACAAGCCAAGAATTGACAAGTTAATTGCAAGCTCAACCAGGAAAATGGTTAGGAACTAACATGGGAAAGTGAACCACAAGATTCGTGCCTCCCTTTAGTTGCGTTTCGATATGCAGTTTAGAGTATACTGCAGGCCTTGTGACCCTTTCTCTTCTTCCTCTTCTTTTGCTTCGGTGGCTGCAAAACAACCTTAATTGCCGCATCAAAGACAGCCTTCACATTCTGCAATATTTACAAAAACATCATGAGAATAACACCCGATTAGCTACTTGCTATGATAATAAAAGTTACTGGAGGTTATTCGTAATTCCAAAAGGTAGCAGTTNTTTTCTTTTCTTATCCAAGTAAATTTGGAAAAACCTGTTGTGTCTTGGCACTGCACTCAATGTAAGCAGAAGCCCCAATCGACTTCTTCAATTCCTCTCCCTTCAAAGGAAAAAGAGATAGAAGTTAGGAGGGTAAACAAATTGATTGATATTCAAACATGGGACGAGTGGTTTAGGGCCTGCTTGGATACAAATATATCCACTCAAAACGAGTTATTTTGGTTAACCAAGGTTAATTTATAAAAATGTGGTATGATTAGATTTTAGTGGGATTTTGAGTTTATATTAAAATAATATTTCAAAGAAGATAATTAAAGTTGATTTGATGTACAAGTACGAGAGAGATGACGTGAAGTGATGGTTAGATAAATTATGTAAAAATGACTGATCGATAATATCTAGGATAGTGGGGTCAGTTTAAAGTTGAGTTAGATTTTGAGTATGAATCGAGTAAGGATTGAGTTTATTTATAAACAAACACACCCTTAACCATTAGTTTGATGGTCTGTGAATGTGCAATGGTGCATAAAACAAAACATCAAATACATAGTAGTACACCTGCCCAGTTGTGATGGATACAGCTCCAGGGTGATCCACGAAGAACTGTTTATCCTCTCGAAGATCTGAAAGAAAATAAAAACCGTTCATCCAATTTAACCTCTAGAAAACTTCAAAGAAAAATTCTGAACAGGGCAAGGAGAAAAAGAGGAAAGAATGATATAATTTGCTTTCTTCTTTTTTCCAGATGTCAATAGGCTTGTGCTGTTTGGCAAGACAGTTCAATATGTATAACTGTTAAATGTGCGGTGTGTGTGCGTGTGTGTGTGTGTGATTTGGGCACAAAGGCAGAGCAATTTTTTCCCTTTATATTTATCATTAATCAGCCAGTGACATATACAGAGGTACTAACCATAATTTCCTGTAGGGTAGTTATGCTACATTAATGATTCAGAGTACTCCTATAACACATGGTAAGCATGACAACATGAATCACACATGACCCTTATGTAGGAATTTAACACAAAGCAGCAATCACAGAGCATTAAAGAATCACATAAAACTCTAATAAGCAGTAATGTCATACACAGCTTTAACTATAATTCTATGGCGTCATGTAAAATAAAAGAATTTACACTGCACTGGGAGAGAGAGAGAGATTCAAAAAGGGTCCTAACCAAGCTTGGTTCCCACGAGAATTATCGGAACTCCAGGAGCATAATGCCTCAGTTCAGGTATCCACTGTAAATTGATACATAAGCTAGAGGGAAAAGACTAAGAAAATAATAGGTGTCATTCTTTCATTCTTTTTTCCTCTCTCTCAGCTTTTACAGAGATTTAATCAAATAAATCTGAAAACAAAAACACGTGAGATATTCTTTCTGTTAAGATAAAGGCAGACTCACCTTCTTGGACACATTCTCATAACTGGCCTTACTAATTAGAGAGAATGCTAGTATAAAGACATCAGCCCCACGATAGCTCAATGGTCTGAGTCTATTGTAATCTTCCTGACCTGCACAATGACAAATGTGTCGTCAGTTCCATACTTGACAGAAAGGAAATAAAAGAAGAAGGAAAAGAAGATGAATAGAAATCTCAGAACAAATAGTTTTACCTGCAGTGTCCCACAATCCTAGGTTTACAGTGCTACCATCCACAACAACATTGGCACTGAAATTGTCAAACACTGTTGGGACATAATCCTGAAAACAAAAGTTCAGTTAGAACAGAAGGTCAACTTGATATCCAGAATGAAGAAACTTCAGTAGAAAAAAAGTATAATCAAATAAAACCGCACGAGGTGAGCCCCAATAAACTTGAAAGTGGTGAACAGAAGACCAAAAACCAGAAAAATCACACAGAACAGGGATTGCTGGATCATGCAATGTAGTGAAAGGCACTCCAAGACAATTTAGAATCTCATCCAATAGGTAAGGAGGTTTTCAATTCAAGAGATGTTGAAAACCATAGAACTGCAGAAGAATGTGTCAATACTCACAAAAACTATCTGCATTGACATTTGATTATTTTGTAAAGAAACTCACACACTGCTCGTTTAAATATTCAAAAGGTGAGATTTAAAATCTCGTAATTGAATACCGTTATGCTTCACCATTGGAAGAGAAACGATCAGCCCTTCTCACAAGCAAAAACTAATTGAGAAAACTTCACCCAAACATTTCCTTAAGAACCTCAAACATTAAAAAGGAAGAAAATTAAGCACCAATTAAATCACCCACTCATGGGAAAACAGAAGTACAGTCAAATTTTTTTTAAAAAAAAAATCATCCAGCTCGATTTTTCCACTTAAAATATGACCATGTCAAATCAAATTTCTCTTGAAGTGTAGCTCATTTTCTTGTTTTGAATTGAATACATTTTCTTTCAACCAAAATTTCACCTAGTCGTCATATGCTAATATTTTCAACAATTAATTATATATAAACAAATAAGATAAAAGGGCCCAAAAAATCTATAAAGAAATCATTATCAAATTTAAACCCAGACACCCAGTCAACATTGAAATACACAAAAGAAATTTAAAGAAAACTGAAAACAGAAAGAGAAAAAAGAAGAAAAAACTTACAGTGGGAAAGGTGTTGCTAGTGTAGGAAATGAGCAAACAAGTTTTACCCACAGCACCATCTCCGACGGTCACGCACTTTATAAACCTCGACGCGCTCATCTCGTCGCCGGCGACTACTTCCCGGCCGGCAAACTACTTATCTCAGCTACACAATCCTGTATCCTCAACTCCACACAATCCAAACCGACAATCCCCAGATCCTTTCGCTATCACCCAATACAAACGCTTATCTGCAGGAATTAGATAAGAAAACACGAAAAAGGAAACTAAGAACCCACTCACACACACACACACACAAAAAAAAACACACACAAAAAAAAAATCAAAACCCTAGTTTCCATATACCATAAACAGCTCTCATCATTATCCGATACCCACCACACAACTAAACCAACAGCCGCAATCAACAATTCGTCAAATTCAACACACATAAAACTAGAAAGTGAGTGCACAATAGAAGAGAGGGAGAGAGAGAGAGGAAAGAAACTCGCACCTGGTAGAAAGAGAAGCAAATGGTGCATATCAATTATCAGGTGAAAGAGGGGTGATGGCTTAGAGAGAGAACGAGAAGTGTGTGATGAGTGAGAAAAAATGGAAGAGCCTTTTAAATAGCAGGAAAAAGCCAGCTACGAGCCAGCTAGTATTTATTTGATTTTCAGGTGCCATACTGCCATTTGCCAATACATAAAGCAAAGGCCAATCACTTTTTTTTCTCCCCCTTTTTTTTCTGGTTAAATTTAAATGCACATTCATTAAATATCAACTTTTTAAATTCTTAACAACAAATGGATGAGTTCATGTTTTGCAAATGAAGCACATAGTTATTAGGAATTAGGATCAGATGTTTACGTGATCAATTTATTATGGTGTTCTATCTAAGTTATCTTGTTGATTAAAATCGGGTTTCCAAGATCCTAATAATTTTTATAAATTATGTAAATTGTCTTGTTGCTTTCTCCTAAATAAAGATGTAAACTTAGGTTATGTTTGGTAAAACTAGCTGATAAGCTAGTTTATAGTTTATAAGTATTTTCGAGCTTATACCTTATAACTTATGACTTATAGCTGAAAAATTAGCTTATATGATAAAATTGTTTGGTAAAATTAGCTTAGTTGAAATAAAAATTTCAAACAACGAGCTTGTTTGAAAAAATACCCAAAAAAGTTTATGAGATAAGCTCGAGCTTTTTAAAAAAGTTATTTTTGCCAAACGAAACTTATTTGAATACAGGAAGCTTATAAGCTAACCAAATAAACTATAAGTTAGCTTATTTGTCTACCAAATATGCTCTTATACTATTTGTAAAGTATGAGATTTTCTATTTAGTATGTGTGCTTGTAACAAAAGTATGTCAGTCTAATGGTTAAGTTGACCTAACATAACAACAACCAATTTGTAATTACTAAGCGGGTGATTGTTTATCATCTCAACTTAAAAAAAAACAATCAAAACTCAAATTTAACTCCACTTTAACTCAACTCCACTATCTCCAATATTATCAATATAATTAAATAATATCAATCAATCATTCTTACACATCACATCAACTTTAATTCACTATTCAACCACTTACATAATTTTAACTAACCATCACTTTCAATCATTTTTCTCCTACTTTCACATCATATCAACTTTAATTATTTTATTTTCAATATTATTTTAATATATCAACTAACAACTAACCATACCACATTTTTCAAAATTAATCATAAAAAAATAATTAAAATCTAGTTGATTTATAAACAATCACCTCTAAATAGTGCAAATGAAGCAAAATCATAATTTAATTTACTAGTCTTTAGCATATTAACATATTTACGAGATACTTGGATTTGGATATAATATTGTGTTCATAAGCACTTTTTTTTTTATAAATTATTTTGACACCTAGAAAATAATGATCAGTATTTTATCGGCTAAGTTAGTGTCAATCAAACAAACGTCTAATTCAAGTCTTATTATTGTCCAAATTAGATGTGATGGGGCTGTAACGGCCCGATCCGCTTTATAACTAATTCCATTATTAGTGATGTGAAATGCTATGGAGTGTTCTTTTATGGAACCAACTATCAATATTATAGTGTCACGTAGGCTACGTGGAGTTAATTATTTTTTCACATGACCTACGTGGCACTATAACATTGGTGGTTGGCTCCATTTCTCGTGTAGTGATACTATATTGAATGTTTTCCAGTTGATTCAACTGCACACCTAATATTAGTATTTTGCAAAATTGAAATAGGGCCTGACAGAAACTGGGGGAAAATTGGTGCTGGCCCACTACCATGAAGGACACCATGAAAGAAGGGAAAAACCCATATGAAGCCCAAATGAGGTTCCATCCCAAAACCAATTGGTGGAAGGAGGAGTAGCCTATTAGTCTTATAAGGTGGGTCTATTTTCCATATATGACGATGTGGGACAACTCACAAGTGATATTCTAACACGCCCCCTCACTAGTGAGTCCTTCGAAAAGCCCAAACCCAACTGGGCTGGGTGCCCCAAGCCCTACTACAAACAGGCTTCCATAAACGGGTACGTGGGGGGATAAACAATGGGTACGTCATCACACGGTCCAAGATAGAACCGACTCTGATACCATGACAGAAACAACTTCGAAAAGCCCAAACCCAACTGGGTTGGGTGCCCCAAGCCCTACTACAAACAGGCTGGGTTGGGTGCCCCAAGCCCTACTACAAACAGGCTCCCATAAACGGGTACGTGGGGGATAAACAATGGGTACGTCATCACACAGTCCAAGATAGAACCGGCTCTGATACCATGACAGAAACTATGGGTACGTCATCATAGAACCGGCTCTGATACCATGACAGAAACTATGGGTACGTCATCACACGGTCCAAGATAGAACCGGCTCTGATACCATGATGACAGAAACTATGGGTAGTTCATCACACGGTCCAAGATAGAACCGGCTCTGATACCATGACAGAAACAAACCGGCTCTGATACCATGACAGAAACTGAGGGAAAATTGGTGCTGACCCACTACCATGAAGGACACCATGAAAGAAGGGAAAAGCCCATGTGAAGCCCAAATGGGGTTCCATCCCAAAACCCATCGGTGGAAGGAGGAGTAGCCCATTAGTCTTATAAAGTGGATCTATTTTCCATATATGAACGATGTGGGACAACTCACAAGTGATATTCTAACAGGGCCATTAATATTTTTTTTTATTGCCTATTACTCTTTTTATTTTCAGCCAGTTAAACATACATGTCAACTTAGGTGGCTTAGCCCAACACTAAAAATAAAATAAAAAATCCTAATAATACAAAATGTCCTTTTCCAGTTTTCCTTCTGTCTTTATTTATTTCCTTTTGCCCATCTAAATTCAAATTCAAATTCCATGTNATTGTGCCCAATACCCCAGAACTCATGGTATTTCTTTATTAATACTTTAATATTTGTCATGAAGAGGAATTTAGGTGAATTTAGGTGATCTAGAGTTTTTTATAAGTTGATTTGAATTGTGGTTCGAAATGTTTAAGGTGAAACATGTCAATTAAAAATTTTGGTGGACCGATATTTCGTGCACATGATAAAAACAATTGATTAATATATAAGTGTAATTAACTAAGTAACATGAAAAAAAACAAGGAGAAAAGAATAGGAAGAACACAACTTAAACAAAAAATGAATAAAGAAATTTGTTAATCTGGTCCTAAATTAATAGTGTATTAAAACTCAGACCGTTGAAAAAGAAAGTTTTTAGTTGGGGTAAGTAGGCTACTATTTAATTTAACTAATGAACACGTGTAAAACCAAAAAAATAAAAAGGTCCAAATTGTGAGAAAATATCCAGATTCAGATCAGATTCAAAACTTTGTTATCTACTGTCAAATAATAATAATAATAATAATAATAATAATAATAATAAGAAGGTATCTATTGTCAGCCTTTTGTCACTCAGTGGTTATGGTGGAGAAATTAGATTCCAAATTGCTTAAATAATAATCAACATGCCTAATTCTTGCCCTTAATTTTCTCATGATTTGGGTTGGTCGGCCGATTAATTATTAATCACAATAGAGATTTCTTTTTTTCTCGTTTTTCTTATAAAGTTTTGATGATGCGGCTTTCAAAATTAGTCCAATTTTGTTGTGACTTAAAAATTTAAAAAATTAAAATACTTTAATGTCCAAAAACTGGACATTCATATCGATCATGTATATTGTACTTTTTGCCATATAATATTTACGTTACTAAATAATGCATTGGAATTGGGAAAGAAAATCCATATTACTTATGTGGCATTTGACTTTTTTTTTTGGTACAATAAAGAGGCTAAAAAGTCTAAACTAGAGTCTGTCGGGGATACGACACCCCCATACTATCATGGTTAAGCCAGACTCCCACACCAGTGGGAATCGAGGTGAGGCGATGTAGTCCGAGTACAGTAGAGCCCGCTAAACTGGCTAAATAATCTGCCGCGAAATTTGCTTCCCGATGCACATGATGAAGCTGAATTGTCCAATCACGCGAAAGTAAATCACGGATCGCCCTAATCAGAGTCTCATGTTGTCCGAACGAGCCATTTGATTTTGAACCATGGATTGCACACACTGGCTGTCCACCTCAGCAGCTATCTTTCGGTAACCCAAGTCCCACGCCAATGAAAGCCCCTGGAAAAGCCCCCAAAGTTCTGCCCCCGTAATAGTGCATGCTCCAATATTTAAAAGAAAACCCCCAAGCCATCGTCCTAGCTCGTCACGAATCAAGCCTCCCGCGCTACCCAGTCCCGTTTGGCTATGGAAAGCGCCATCCGTGTTGAGTTTAACCCAGCCCGGAGAAGGTGATGTCCAGCGGATCATTCGCGTGATATGCCGAACTGCCCCAATGGAGGAGAAGGCCACCGCTGCCCTTGTATAATTGTCCGACAAGCGTCGCACCTCAGACAGTCGGGCAGCAAAGCTGGGCACTTTATTCTTAAATATTCTTTCGTTATGCCAGGTCCACATCCTCCATACCGTAATGGCGAATATGCTGCTCCACGGTCTCCGCAGGTCCGAATGCATTTGCAGCAGGTTCTGTCGGAGCCAAGCAAGGCGGTCAAGCTGAAAAAAATCCGATGCATGCCCAGCTGGAAGGAGACGCTGCCATATCTCTCTAGCAGCAGAGCAGTCCCGAAGAACATGAAGGACCGTCTCCTTAGCGCCACAGCGATCACACGACGGAGAATTCGCAATATGCCGGCGATCACGCTCCGCATTCGTCAGAAGGCGGTTTTTAGCCGCAAGCCACACACACATTCGGGCCCGTTGTGGAGCCGGGGCTCGCCAAATCAGCTTCCATAAGTACATGTTGTGGTCCCTAACGGGGGAAGAAAGTGCATGGTAAGCGGACTTCGTCGAAAAACGGCCATCCTCAGAAAACCCCCATATTATATAATCGTCTACATCCGTCGCTTTAGGTGGGAGAGTGCCGGCTATACGTAAGACGACTGAGGTGGGAAGAACACCATGAAATCCTCCCCATATCCAGTTTCCTTGATCGTCCACATGGTCAGCTACCTTCGAAAAAATATTCCCCACTTGCATCGGTTGACGAGCAAATCGAATTAAAGGCCCATCCACGCCGAGCCATGGATCCAGCCAGAAACGCGCCGACTCTCCATTGCCTAAGACCCATCGTACTCCTCGCAATACCTGGGGCCAGATCGTTAGGATGGCACGCATAAGCGGTGAGCCCGGGTGCCACGTAATCGTGTCCAAGGGGGCCGAGGTGTTTATGGAATATTTGGCTTTTAATACACGCACCCACAACGCCTCCGGTTGAGTTAATAACCCCCAACCCAACTTCATCAGTAATGTGGCATTTGACTTTTAAAAAATACACAATTGTATTGAAAATGATCTTATTAAATGAATGGTGACAACAGTAAAATGTTCCTAGAGAAAAAAATAATACTATTATACTAACGTATCATATATTGTTTTGCTGAAAGGTAAACTATATATTATACGAAGAAATAAAAGTATATGATAAAGATTAAACAAAACATTATTTCATATCAGCAAAACAATATATTATACGAAGAAATAAAAGTATATGATAAAGATTAAACAAATCATTATTTCATATTTGGAACTAAGATTAGTCTAAGACCCTTGCAAGAGGCTTCCTTTCTCAAGTCATAAGACAGCTGAACAATGGATGTTTAAATTGTTTTCTAATGTAACCTTCACACTTGAAATAGAAGCAAAAAAAGTTGGGAGTTTTTACCAACCTGAATGATCAAGAAATTTACAGATTTTAGTAATTCAATAGATAGCATTTTCAACAACAAAAATTGGGAGTTTTAATTCTTCAAATATTACATTATTACTATAAACAAGATCGAAAATCATTCAAGAATAATGTGCAATTTGCTACTACATTTGAATAAGAAAGGTATATATAGTTCCTACTGAAATTATTGAGGTACAAATAGAAGAGCGAATTCCAAAATATGATTCAACTGAGGGTATACAATTATATCCGCTCAAAATAAATTTTTTTTCGGTCAATCAGAATTAATTTTGAGAAAAAATGATATGATTAGTTATTAGTAAAAATTTTAGATTATATTAAAATAATTTTCAAAATATTAAAATTGATTTGATTTAAAAATAAGAGAGATGATGTGAATTGATGGTGTCAGTTAAATTTATGTGTGTTAATGATTAGTGATTTAAAATGATATGATGTATAATAATAATTGTTTAATATTATTTAATTATCTTAATAATATAAAAAATAATGAAGTTACTGTTACGATTGCAGTTCATAATCGAAATTTAGTAACTAGGAAAAATCAACTATATTCGAAAAGAAAAGAGTCCGAAAGGGCACAAATCAATGCCATCCATAAAGGTGATATATATTGCTCACAATGCTCTCGAGTTCATTCCTTTTTTTTCTTTTTTGTTGAGAAAAGAGGGAAAAATGACTATTTTAGACAAATTGTAACTTATTTACAAGCACGGCTTGAAGTTCTCCCGTGCAGCCTTCCATCACCTGAAGACTAAGATAAAAGGCACAAATCAGGCCGTGAGCTACAGAAAAAAACGAGACCTCATATGCACGCTTTGAAAAGGAGATGAAAATTATTAAAAGAAATAAAGGGAAGGAAGAAAATTACTGTAGAATGATGACGGGGGTGAAAAAATAACTCACCTTTTTTAACTGTCAGGGTTAGGAAAGCGCATAAACGGTTCGCCTTATTAAGCTACAAATTGAACCGTTCATCGGCAAAAAGCATAAATTAATTTCTTTCAGGACAAATCAAAAGATCCTTGTCCTTCACTGATGGCGTAAAGCAGTTTCTTGTACATAATTTCCTAGAAGATGGGGAAAACAAATTCAGCTGTCAGCACCACTAAATAAAATTTGCGGTTTACAAGAAGAAAACGCTAAATACGACCACCAAGTGACCAATGAGAATAAAAATATTTCTGAAAGACACAATATGTGGATATTGATTCTTCTATGTAGCCTACTTAATATTATTATAACATACGAATGACAAAAATTAATAGGATTTAGATTATTAAGACCAAGTTCCTTTTCTTTTTCATTTATTAACTAAGAAATTGAACTTTATTTGATTATTTTACATACATCAGTATCATTTCCTTAAATTTATTTTTGATTAAAATATTGTCGGTTCCTATTCCGCTCTCCATTTTGAGGAACTGAGAACCGGCAGTTGAGATTTGTATTTTTTTTTCCAAAAACAAAAATACGCAACAAAATTCCAATGGTGCCCTTCCCAAACCAGCCAAACCGAAGTCTGTACCTTAGATGAATATGGTGGAAGCTTCAAATAATTGGCACATGTCATCACACTAGGTAAATCAAAAAAAAAAAAAAAAAAAAAAAAAAATGGTTGAACTTCGAAGCTTGCAGGATCTGAAGTGATTTTTGGGGTCTAACAAAATGGACCATTACCTTCCATAACTCTCGGCGGCCACAAAGCATGTAGTCCAACTCATTAGGCGAAAATATTTGTAGGCTTGCAATGTCAAAAACCTGAGAAGAATAAATCCTTGGAATTAATCATAATCGAGAGCACGATTATATCGATCGATATTATTATATTAGCTGATCACATATGAATGTCCTTATGTGAAACACAATTAACATGAAGTAACAGTGCTAGTAAATGATTAAATCTGGCTAAACTGGCCAGATGAAGTTATTTGGTGATCTTTTTGCTTGAAATGGCAAAATAATAAGAGAACACAAAAAAAAAAAAAAGTCTTGATCACAATTTCCCAGAAACATGACACGTGTAACATTCAAAGAAAAAAGATAAGAGTTAATCTATTTTACCAGATTGGTTTTAGCAACTGGCTTTTACCAAATTATGTGTTGGCAAAATCTGGAGGATTGTTGATTTTGACAAATATAATAATGAGAATGTAATAGATGTTTGCCATGTTTATTTTCGGTAATTCACATCTGTAAATCATTCTAGTAGTGTAGCACAACACAAGCGACAAAAAATAAAAAATAAAAAAGAACAAACCTGGTTAAATCCAGATCTAAATGATTCGATTTGTCGCAAGATTCCGGTCCCTACAGTAGCATCTACCACAAGGGTAACATAATCCCCCAAATTACTTATATCCACCTGTGAGAGAGAGAGAGAGTAAAGTTAACAGGAAATTAGATATATATAAACAGAAGCAACAAAAAAAGGATACATAGCGTACATTATCACTGCCCGATTTCAAGATATACTCAGGGTAGCCCGGGAGGGAGAAATCCAAACAAAGATCTTCAATCGACACTCCGCGAAAACACAACTCTTCCATCTTGTAACAACTTCCCGTCGATTCTAAATACTCTTTTCGCAACACAAGTGCTTGCAATTCTTGCAAAGTAGTCCCTAATTCCACGTCAAACGTAACAATATCATGCAGATCCAGCTCCTGCACAATTACCACCACATCATTTA